TTCTCTTGCAAGATAGATCCTAGGTAGCGAAAACGATCACTTTTTTGTGATCTTCGCTAGATTGCTCCGGTCATTAGTGTGGATATAAATGGATAGAGATAGGAAAGCAAACACAAGATGTACGTGGTTCACCCAGATTGGCTACGTCCACGGAATAGAGGAGTTCTCATTAATTGTGAAGGGTTTACACAAGTACATAGGTTCAAGCTCTCCTTTAGTGAGTACAAGTGAATGATTTAGTACAAATGACATTAGAAAATATTGTGGGAGAATGATCTCGTAGCCACGAAACTTCTAAGTACCGGAGTGTGGTATCGTCTTGACTTGCCTTATCTGTCTCATAGGTAGATGTGGCATCTTCTCTGGAAGTACTCTTCCTCCATCCAGGGGTGGTATCTGTAACTGGTGGAGATGCACAAGGTAATGTATCAATTTCACTTGAAGCTTACTTGTAGTTTCATGCTTGGTCAAGCGAGATACAAACCATGTAGTAGGAGTCCCCCAAGTCGCCGAGCTAGGGGATCTGCTGAAAGAGGTGACAGACAAGGTAAGCAATCAGAGCTCCGGCTGATTGTTTCACATTCTCCCTATCTTGCAGGCAGCATGAAGGATAAAGAGAAGAAAAATGAGGAGAGATGATATGGGATACTTTTGCTTTTGAAGAAGTAACTTTCCACAGGCTTATTCTTGAACTGGGCTGGAGGGTTTTTCTGGTTTCCTCCAGAGTATAAGGCCGACTGAAGAATTTGAGGGTCAAAACAAGTCCATCAAATCTAGAGTACGTTCGACCCTGCTGATATGGGATACTTTTGCTTTTGATAGAGTAGTGGATGTATCGGCACGTGTGCTGTTACACTTGTCTCCACATGCTTCCTTGTATCCTTCTCACTTGCCCTATCTGTTCCTCAGGCAGATGCGGTATCTTCCCTGGAAGCATAAGATGTTGAAGATGAGTACTCGAGAGCAATGCCAGGTAAGTAATCAGGTAAGGGGTTCCAGGCAGTCAGTTCCTGGCTGGAAGCTTGATTCCAAGTGTTGACTGATTGCTCTCTTTCTCCTTGTCTTGCAGGTAAGAACAAGGCCAAAGGAAAAGACAGGGAAAAAGCATGATATGGGATACTCTTGCTTTTAACCCTGATGATATGAGATATTCTTGCTCTAGTATAGCTTGTTTACAGAGGTATTATTGGGGGGAAAGAAAGCTGAATATTTCGAAAGGCTTTGTTGGGAGTGCCCTCTCAGATAAGAGAAAGGGTTGAGCATTTTTGCAGGTCTGCCTGTCCGTTAGGGATGGAAGTCGACATATATAGGAGTCTCCCTAACATCAAGTAATAATGCTATTCCTTTACCCTGCTTGGTTATAGCACGGTAGTGGGAGCTGCCAGCTTCACATGTTTTAACTCTGTCAGAGCACTTTGAAAAAGTGATTTGTGGTATCTGGAAAGCTGATGTTGCGTGTGAAGATTACAGACCTGTCGGGGGTTTGGCTCTCGAGATTCGGAGAACGATGCCTCTTCGATTTTTGAGAAAGCAATCCTGCTGGGGGTCTGGCTCTCGAGATTCGGAGAGCGGTGTCTCTTCGATTTTTGAGAAAGTAATCATGTTGGGAGTCTGGCTCTCGAGATTCGGAGGGCCGTGCCTCTTCGATTTTGGAGCAAGCAATCTTGTTGGGAGTGTTTTCTCGAATGTGAGTAAAGGTTGGGCATGTTTGCTAGTCTACCTTGCCACGAAGCACAGAGGTTGACACACAGGGACTTTCCAATTATCCAGCAGTGGTACTGTTCCTTTACCCTCTCTTCGATTTTGAGAAAGTAATCATGTTGAGAGTCTGGCTCTCGAGATTCGGAGGGCGGTGCCTCTTCGATTTTGGAGCAAGCAATCTTGTTGGGAGTGTTTTCTTGAATGTGAGTAAAGGTTGGGCATGTTTGCTAGTCTACCTTGCCACGAAGCACAAAGGTTGACACACAGGGACTTTCCAATTATCCAGCAGTGGTACTGTTCCTTTACCCTCTCTTCGATTTTTGAGAAAGTAATTATGTTGGGAGTCTGGCTCTCGAGATTCGGAGGGCGGTGCCTCTTCGATTTTGGAGCAAGCAATCTTGTTAGGAGTGTTTTCTCGAATGTGAGTAAAGGTTGGGCATGTTTGCTAGTCTACCTTGCCACGAAGCACAGAGGTTGACACACCGGGACTTTCCAATTATCCAGCAGTGGTACTGTTCCTTTACCCTTGTGGGTAATAATATGGTAGCTAGACCTTCAAAATTTATGTGTCTAAACTTTGTTAGTGTTGTTTCTTTGCAATTCTTTTACCCTTCTTGGTCAGAGCGATGTAGTGGGAGCTGCAAGCTTCACGTGTCTCAACTTTGTCAGAGAACTTTGGCAAAGTTATCTGTGGTACCCATGAGCTACTGTTGCGTGTGGGAAGTGGGTGATTGAACAGTACGATTCATGTGCTTTCTACTTCGCCAAAAATCTTTGACAGAATGCCCATAATTTCCGCAAAGCTGAGTGTGCGTGTGACAGGTGCTGACAAGGCTGGAAAAGTAGGTGCCTCTTCGATTTCTGAAATCGGCCCTCGTGGTCTCTGAGCAGCCCAGCTTTTGAGAAAGCAAGCCTCTTCGATTTCTGAGATCGGCCTTTGTGGTCTTTGAGCAGCCCAGCTTTTGAGAAAGCAAACACCTCTTCGATTTCTGAGATCGACCCTCGTGGTCTCTGAGCAGCCCAGCTTTTGAGAAAGCAAACGCCTCTTCGATTTCTGAGCAGGCGCCTCTTCGATTTCTGAAGCTTCGTCGAGTGCAGATTTTTATAGGGGCTGACATTAAGTTCCAAAGCACACTTGAATATCCACCAGTAGAAGCTCCATTCTTGCACTTCTAAGATCTTGATTTGTCCGACCTCTTCTCTCTTCAACACCTTTGAAAATGTCTGGCCCCTCCGACCGTCGTTTTGACTTGAACCTTGTTGAAGAGGCAGCCCCGCCTTCTCCAGACAACATATGGCGCCCATCCTTCGTCTCCCCTACTGGTCCTCTTACCGTTGGGGATTCCGTGATGAAGAATGATATGACCGCTGCGGTAGTGGCCAGGAACCTTCTCACTCCCAAAGATAACAGACTACTTTCCAAACGGTCTGATGAGTTGTCTGTTAAGGATTCTCTGGCTCTCAGTGTTCAGTGTGCAGGTTCTGTGTCTAATATGGCCCAACGCCTATTTGCTCGAACCCGCCAAGTTGAATCATTGGCGGCTGAAGTGATGAGTCTCAAACAGGAGATTAGAGGGCTCAAGCATGAGAATAAACAGTTGCACCGGCTCGCACATGACTATGCTACAAACATGAAGAGGAAGCTTGACCAGATGAAGGAATCTGATGGTCAGGTTTTACTTGATCATCAGAGATTTGTGGGTTTGTTCCAAAGGCATTTATTGCCTTCGTCTTCTGGGGCTGTACCGCGTAATGAAGCTCCAAATGATCAATCTCTGATGCCTCCTCCTTCTAGGGTTTTGTCCAGTACTGAGGCTCCGAATGATCCCCCTCCGGTGCCTTCTCTTTCTGGGGCTCTACCGACTGCTGAGACTTCTCCTAAGCAACCTTTGTGAAGGCTCCCTCTTGTTTTGTTTATTTTGACTCAAGTATATGTACATATTTGTAACTTATCGGGGATATCAATAAATAAGCTTTCCTTCATTTCAACGTATTGTGTTAAATACACCAAAGCCTTCTTCGCTAAGTTCTTTGAATTTTCTTTTGTTGAAGCTTGTATGTTGAAGCTTTGTGAGTGGAGCATATAGGTTGAGGTAGTGTTCCCTTAATTTCCCGAGTGAGGAAAACTTCTCGGTTGGAGACTTGGAAAATCCAAGTCACTGAGTGGGATCGGCTATATGAATCTTAGAACGCCATTGTGTTCTGTCCTGTGTCATGTCCTCCGTTAGATCCAAGTACTCTAAGTCTTTTCTTAGGGTCTCTTCTTCTAAAGTTTTCCTAGGTCTTCCTCTGCCCCTTCGGCCCTGAACCTCTGTCCCATAGTCGCATCTTCTAATCGGAGCGTCAGTAGGCCTTCTTTGCACATGTCCAAACCACCGTAACCGATTTTCTCTCATCTTTCCTTCAATTTCGGCTACTCCTACTTTACCCCGGATATCCTCATTCCTAATCTTATCCTTTCTCGTGTGCCCACACATCCAACGAAGCATCCTCATCTCCGCTACACCCATTTTGTGTACGTGTTGATGCTTCACCGCCCAACATTCTGTGCCATACAGCATCGCCGGCCTTATTGCCGTCCTATAAAATTTTCCCTTGAGCTTCAGTGGCATACGGCGGTCACACAACACGCCGGATGCACTCTTCCACTTCATCCATCCAGCTTGTATTCTATGGTTGAGATCTCCATCTAATTCTCCGTTCTTTTGCAAGATAGATCCTAGGTAACGAAAACGGTCGCTCTTTGGTATTTCTTGATCTCCGATCCTCACCCCTAACTCGTTTTGGCCTCCATTTGCACTGAACTTGCACTCCATATATTGCTTACCTTGTCTGTCACCTCTTTCAGCAGATCCCCCAGCTCGGCGACTTGGGGGACTCCTACTACATGGTTTGTATCTCGCTTGACCAAGCATGAAACTACAAGTAAGCTTCAAGTGAAATTGATACATTACCTTGTGCATCTCCACCAGTTACAGATACCACCCCTGGATGGAGGAAGAGTACTTCCAGAGAAGATGCCACATCTACCTATGAGACAGATAAGGCAAGTCAAGACGATACCACACTCCGGTACTTAGAAGTTTCGTGGCTACGAGATCATTCTCCCACAATATTTTCTAATGTCATTTGTACTAAATCATTCACTTGTACTCACTAACAATATTTCTTTAAATCCTCTACATCCTTATAATCATGATTCACGATAATCCTCTTACAAATTCGTCGTTTCGGTTATTTATTAATTAGTTCAACAACTAATGCACTCTGTAATTTACACAAACCAGAACACAGTCACAAAACCTTTAGATATATGTCTACTATTTACTGGGAACAGTCAGAACTGAGAAGTATATTAAAGCATACTCAGCCAGCAACTGATGTGATCAATGTTGACAAGTTACAAGACTTCCTTAGCATATATTAGAGAAATTAATCGTCTCTTGTCCGATGAGATTCTGACCGAAATTTACAAAATTCAGCTGCGCTCACTTCCATGGTTAGAGCATGATGAAAGCAAGAAACGCAAGCTATTTGCAAATGCCGGAGGGATCTGTGTTCTTGATTATCCAAGGGTGTTCCATGATCTTTTGAAGAGACAGCCTCTTTGAGGAGTCCTTGACGAGAAGCTGCAAAAAGGTCGACTTATTTCAGGAAGGAAGGCAATGGATGGATACTGATACCAAAAACTACTGCTAGAGGTTTATTTACCCCCACGTATCACTAAGAACATAATCATCGAAAAACTTACCCTGGTAATGAGATGTTTAGCCTCCGCGGAAACTTGAGGTTCAGCTGGGAAGCTTAGGTCAACCTTCATTATCCTGCATCCAATATCAACTTATTATCCAATTATGTTTTCGTTCATGTCAGGAAACCACATTGATTGAGGAAGACAGAAAACTTATTGATACCTTTTGAATGTATCCTTTTGACTTTCGGCCTCAAAGGGAGGAATACCAAAGAGGAACTCATAGCAAAGAACGCCTAAAGTCCAGTTATCAACAGCATAATCATGAGCTTTGTTCTCCACCATTTCTGGTGCTAAATAATCTAGAGTTCCACACATGGTATGCCTCTTGCTTCTTGACTGTACAGACCATCCAAAGTCTGCAATTTTCAATCGACCCTACAAGAATAATTTCATAATCAATTCATCAAAATACGTCCTCAGCTTGTTCAAAGATAACGACCCCAGAAAAGAATTCACATAGCAGTGCAATTTGGAATCACTAACAGGCACAGCTTTGTTCAAAAACCGAAGGGGACTAACAATGACAGCAATAAGAAGCCCCTGTATGTTCATACAGTGGAAAACCAACCTTGGTTTCAGATTCTCCTAAAATTGCATAAGGAAAATCACATCTACTAAAGCTAACCCCGAAACCAAAATTAATTGGTCTTAAAAGGTGTAAAGGCTCTATAAAATTGAAAGAAAATCATACAAATACAGAATAATTGAAGATGTTGCTATTGTCACTAATTGGAAACCAAAAACGAAATTTCAACACAGAAAAAGTGAAATTGTAGTCATTGTTACAATGTGGAACTAGAATATGTACAACATTAATTGACTGATGAGCATTGTGGGATAAATTTTGGGCAGAAATAAAGGATTAAGAGCCACAGTTCTCATCTCTATTTCCAACTTCTAAGATGACCCAAATACCGAAACCGGAACAAAACAAGAATGGCAGATTTATGGTAGGGAGAGGAAGTAGCAAAACATTCATACCTCATGATCCAATAGCAAATTTTCAGGCTTGATGTCCCTATGAATCACATGCTTTTCGTGACAATACGCCAATGCTTCAGTCAAGCTCAAAATATACTAAACAATCACACGAAACCCCATTAATGTCCAAACCACACACACCAGAGAAAGAATTTAAGAGAGAGAGAGAGGGACGGGGATACATACAGTGGCGGCCTGTTTCTCCGAAAGGTAGGTAGTTTTCCTGAGAAGTCCGTAGAGCTCTCCGCCGTGAGCGTACTCGAGGATCAAGAAGATGCGGTCGTCATCGTGGAACCAGCCGTAGAGGCGGAGGATGTTGGGGTGGCGGAGGCTGGTCTGGATCTCCATCTCCCTCCTCAGCTGATGCTGAATCTTGTACTTTTCGATCTGCTCCTTGAATATTACCTTCAATGCCACTACGTACTTGCTCTGCCCAAAAAAAAAAAAAAACACCCAAATTTCCCCAGAAATAAAATTAATCGATGGATTCGGATTCGAGGTTTTTCGATTTCGATTGAGGAGAAATTCAGATACCTTGGCTTCTCGGGCGACGTAGACTCGGCCGAATTTCCCCTTTCCGAGGGGTTTTCCGATCTCGAAGTCTCGCAAGGACCAATCTTTCTTCGAGGATTCTTGCGGTTTCTGGGTTTTCGATTCCATTTTCCCGTGGTTTTTTCCGGAATGGAATTCTGGGATTTTTCTTTCTTGAGGGAGAGTTTCTGGGAATTGAAAAGCCAGAGAGACAGACCAGACCAGCATATGGAATTTTTGAATTTTCCTTTTAGCGCCACTACCGAGGCGCACCGTTTTGCTCGATTCTTTGGTCTGCTCGGGTGGGTCCTTGCTACAATAGCATGGTAGATATTGCTAAACTTAACAAAATAATGTGTGTACTTTTTTTGTACCATCCGTATTCCGTCACAATTAAAAAATTTTCTTCATGCTCATAAATACTCGCCAATTGCGTCCATGCCATTCATAAGGGATGAATAGTGATAATACATTATATGCATGTCCGTACCAAGTATTATATAAGCCCCGATAACGTGTAGAAAGTAGGCCCTAAGATATTGTTCCCAATGAGGATCACCTCACCTACCTCTAACTCGAGAAGGTTTTCCTACGCCAATCTAATCGTATTTTCCTTTTAGAAAAGGTATTTTGGTCAGGTTGCCTCTCAAAAGCATCATCAAATATGTGGAACCAAAAATAATCACAATGCGGCAAGTGGATTTTTAGGTAAAATGAACAAAATTACCTTTGAGGCACATCGGATTTCCTACGAACGAGAAGTGGACAATCATCTCTCAATCAAGTCAAAAGTGCTCAAAAAATATAACAAATTCAAAATTATTTCATCCATCCTCATCTTATATTCCCTACAAGGTAATTATTCCATAACCTTTAAAACATTCCATATAAATTGAGTTAATTGGCCAATTAATGGATTAATTAGGTAATTAATCCATTAATTGCCAAATAAATCACCCATTACACTCACAAATTACCCAAAAGGCTAGCCACTCTCTCTCCCAAGAGGGCCGGCCATGCTCTATATATTGAACCCCATTTTTTCTAAAAACCTAGCTCCACACTCTTGCAAAACTCCCAAAAACTCTCCAAACACTTTTCTCTCTAAATTCTAACTTTGGCATCGGAGGTTCTTCGGCCAAAACCCCCTCATTTATCATGGGCGCGTGAGGCTCTTGGCCTTGACCTAAGGTGTTAATTATTTTGTAGGTGCAATTTTGTCCAAGATCAAGGAGGAAGAAATTTGCATCCACAAATTGGTGCTTTCATTGAGAGTTGAGTCCCCCACTCGTTGAAAACTCTCGCATCCAAGGTTTTCTATTTTCTTGTCCATTTGTAGATTTTTCGTATGTTCTTATTTTTAGAATTTTTTATTTGCAAAAATTCTTTGATAAAACGTAAAAGAGAAGTACAATGGCTAGAAATTTATAAAATTCAACAAGTGAAAATTCCAATATTCAAGAGATGGGACCGCGGCGATCCACGAGGCTAAATGTGACAATAAGTAGAGCGGCATCACCATTACGAGGCTCCACCATGGTAACCATCGCAGCGGCCACCACGGCAACCACATGTGGTGAGGTCCATGGCACCACTACCACGACCTAAGCCGTGCCATCCAAACTTGCACGGGCCCAAGCCCCAGCCAAGCCATCCAAGGCCAACAGCACCAAAGCCATAGCCCAAGCCATGTCACTCAAAGCCCAACGCTTTGCCAAGCCAAGCCCTAGCTTAGCACCCATGTGCGCCACACGCAAGCAGCCCACTCCCGTGGCTTAGCCTGCTTCTGCTGAGCAGCCCATTCCAGTGGTTCAGCTTGTTCTTGCCGAGCAGCCTGCTCTCGTGGCCCAACTTGCTCCCGCCGAGCAACCCACTCTCGCGGCCCAGCCTGCTCCGGTAGCCCAACCTGCTCCCCCGGCCCTTCTAAGCAGCCCAAATCGATCCAAGATTAGTTTAACAGTCCCAGCTTCAAATTTTCAGACCGATGATCAAACCAGGAGCATTTTCACCATATTTTTCTACTGATTTGACATTTTCCAACTCAAATCTCGCACCCGGAGTCTACCACACTTCCACTACTCAAGGAGACGCATTCCTTTCAAGCTATTCCAACCCAAATGGAGAACAACACTTGTCTCGACAAGTCATAGAATTGATGAGCGCCCTCACACAGCAGATGACCTTGGTGAACCAACTCTTGCAACGTACCGAGATGCAACGTACCCCAGACAAGGTATTCTGAAGTAAGACAAAGGTAGACAAAGAACCTCTCCAGCAATGTCCCAGCAAGCAGCCGCTCGACTAGCCACGAACCGAGTGTTCGGGCAATGTACACTCTCGATTAGGCCCCCGAGATAATGTATACTCCTATCTTACCGCACGAAGAAGCGTGCACTCTTGACTAGGCCCACGGACTAGCATACATTCACGGTTGGGGTCACACTCCGATAGTCAACATGAGCAACCTTCCAGGTAAAGTGTTCATTTATGGTTAAGCCCGCAATGAGCATCATCCACCTCACATCGGAGTAGGCAGCACGACGGATGAAGAGAAGCAATCACTCAATCCGGCTCAAGTTCAACCGACAACCTACGAAAAACTCATTTTCCTGCTAGGAACACACCACACGCACCACATCCACGGCATAGACTAGCCAAACACATGGAAGAGCAGTCTAGACCAGCAAGTCACGGCAGGGGTTAGTCGAGAGCTCTGCCACCCCCAACAAAGGCAAATTTAGGAAGAAGTATAAAGACTTTTGACCAAGGATTGCACAATTTCCAATGCAACAAGGTCACTGACTAGGCATTACGACGGAACATGACCAACATAAGCAGGTCACCCTTCACGGACAAGATCGAGCAGGCAGAGCCTCCATGCGAGTTCAGCATGCCACATTTCACATCTTTAAAAGGGGATGAAGAATCGGAGAGACATTTAAAGCACTACCGAAACATAATGATCCTCTATCGAAACAACGACGATCTCATGTGCAAGATATTCACCACCATTATACAAGGCAATGTGCAAGATTGGTTCTACACCCTGCTGCCACAATCCATCCGGAGTTTTGACGAACTTTCTTTGGTTTTCACCAGAGAATATTCATCCTATCGCTTGATCAAAAAGAAGTCCGACCATTTGTTCAACGTCAAGAATAACCCAAAGGAGTCGTTTTGTGACTATGTGAAGAGGTTCAAAGCAGAAAAGGTAAAGATAGTCAGATGCAACGACTCGATAGCTAGAGCAGCCTTCCAAAAAGGACTTCCAATAGACCACCTGCTATTCGAAAAATTGATTATGAAAGAAGATCTAACTCTGGCAAACTCTTTCGCTCTGGCAGAGAAGCATGCACTTTGGGACGAGGCTCGCCAATGCACATTCAAGGACTTAAAGAAGTACCCGACATTACCTCCCTCTTATCCAAACTAGAAACAGTAAAGGACTTATTAGCATGTTTTACAATATCTAAAGCAGCAATAAGCTCTACCATCATGTGAGAAGAGCTGGGGGCCCAACTACCTATATTTCACAGTTCAAAAGCTCTTGTCGATGCTATCAGAAATTCAAAAGCTAACTTTGGCGATAGTTGTCGCAACCTGGAAGCTCAAGTTTTACCTTCAAACGCACGCAACCATCCTCATGACACACTATTCCACCAAATCCAGACGCGTGACAATAAAGGCGTAGACCCCGGTGGATGTAAAGTTTTCTGACAAACGCAACAATTCGGCCCAAAATACACGCCAAGGGTAGATGAACACTGAAATGACACACTCTGAATTAAGTTTTATCCTCATCGACTTTAAAAGATTTTACATAAGAGCAACATGTACCGGCAGTTGAGCACCACTTCCTGCTACGTCTCACACGGCCCCAGCCGACCCTTGCTCCATAATTCAATTCTAAAGTGGCCTAATATCGGCAGTTGAGCATTTCTTGCTGTGTGTAACATGGCCCCAACTCCACAGCTCCCTACCACACATTCACGACGTAACAGAGCAGCTCAACGACGTCCTAGAGGTAGCTGAGCAGGCCTTAGCCTCGTCTGCTTCACCCGATGGAGACTTCTGGCATTTGCATGTCCATATCACATCCAACTACAAAGGTTCGAGAGCAAGCGTAGTCCTTGTCACCTAGATGGTTCGATGCATGAGCAGGCGATCACTTTAGGCTTCAAAGCATCCAACAATGAAGTAGAATATAGACCCTACTAGCAGGCTTCCGAATGGCAAAAGACTTGGTGGTGAAAAAGCTCACAATTCATTTTGATTCCAACTAATCACTAGCCAGACTGCTTGAGGTGTTTCAAACTTACACCCTTACTTAAGTTCCACAGGCAGATAATGCTCATGTGGATGCACTAGCCGACCTAGGCTCCGCCCTCGACCACCAACTCAAAAGCTCTATTCCAGTGGAGTATCTAGATGAGCCAAGCATAGAGGCGAAGCCAGTAGTCGAGGTGTCACATGTTAGTACAACTCCAAACGGACAAGATTCCATTGTAGACTACCTGGTCAATGGCACATTCCCCAAGAAAATATTGGAGTCTAGGAAGCTCCAAATCAAGGCAGCATACTACTACATGTGGAACGACATTCTCATCCAAAAATCTTACACCAGACCACATCTCCGCTGCCTAGCGCCTCCCGATGACTTGAAGGTTCTAAGCTCAATCCATGAAGGTGTTTATGGAAATCACTGTGGAGGTCGATCCTTAGCACATAAGGCTCTTAACGCAAGTGACTACTATCCTACCATGCACCGAGATGCTAAGAAGATGTACGACTGTTGCCAACGTTACGAGCCGGTACTATCACTACTTGCCAGCGAGTTAACCTGCGGATGAATCCTTGGTCGTTCATACAGTGGGTAATAAACCTGGTAGAACCTATGTCGCTTGCTACTGGGGGCAGAGGCATGATGATCGTGGCAACCAATTACTTCACCAAATGGGTAGAAGCAGAGCCCAAAACGACCACGACTTAGACAGACATAGAGCACTTCATATGGAGGAACATCATTTGCCGATTTGGCATACCTCAGTCCATTGTCACCGACAATGGCCCGTAATTCATGGGCCAAGATATGGCGAAGTTATTCCAAAAGTATGGCATCAAGCAGCACATGTCCATGCTAAGATATCTTCAAGGCAGCAGGCAGGCCGAAGCATCCAACAAGATGATCCTTGACTGCCTCAAGAAATCCCTCACCAACAAGAAGGGAAAATG